AATCATCAAACGTACTCTATATTTATTCTTGTAGCCTTCTTTAGACAAGTACCAACTAAGGCAATTATCTTATATATGCCCCGATGTTTCAATTCACAACAATATCGATTTAATTTCACATATATAGGTATGTTCTTGAGAACTATAATTTGTTGCTTCTGGCAATAGAATCCTCCGGGGTAACTTCTATCTTTCAGGGCTTTTATGACATTTTAAGACCTTCTGAATCAAAGTCTTTTTTTCACATTGTCAAACAGATAAGGGATTTATATAGTTGCATCCACCACATGAGAGTATATCTCTTTCTCTTAATTTCATGTCTTTGTGAGAATTATTTTTACCACTAAACGTACTTTATATCTCATAAAAATCCACTTATCTCTCACTAATTTTACACTTTCAAGTGTAAGGACTTCTAGTCCAAATACTTTCTCTTCAAGAGATTTTACTAATTTTATTTTACTTCTTTTCATGATTGGCCAATCATCATTTTATGTATACTTTTCAATAAATCTTCTTCTATTAACCGCGCGGTTCATAATCCTCAATAACATCATCATCAACTGCTTTACTGCATACAAAATATTTTACGACGTCGATTTGCTTTTTGGTTCCATTATTCCAGACATGACTCAACTTGTTGAGATTTATTCTCATTATCATTTTCAGGTACATGAATCTCTTTCTTATTCATGTCTAAGCTCTTCTAGAGAATCTTTGCTTTCTTGGTGCCATATTAACTTTTTGCTCTTTTAAATTTATTTTCCGAGGATGCTTTTTCTTTTGGAACCAATAAGTCTATCACGCTTCAGGCGATCTTTAGACTTACTAGCAGTTGATCTTATCCTTCTAGGATATTACTTTTAATTGGAACACAGCTGGTGTGACTTTGTCACCTAAGGTCAGTAAATGCTTCTGGCATATTTTGCTAAACTTTGCAAATGAATTATCTTATAAATTTCTTGTGCACATTCTTTAGTACGAGGAGCAAGATAATTACTTCCAATATATTTCTTTACCAGCTTTTTATTTTCTCCCCCTAATGTTGGAAAGACTGACTCACTGAATTGACAGTCTCCATCTCGAGCCTTAAATAAATTTCTTACTGATGGCTCAATATAATCAATCATCAAGAGAGATTCATTCAACATATGTCCAACATTCTTTCAAATCTCATCTTATAATATTGTGGTGGAGCAACTCTACATATATAACACATTTAGATGAGGAATATCTGGTTTCTGACCCAAACCAATTGTAACAGGGAGAACTCATTATATTTTGTTGGCCTGATGCGAATAAATTGACATAATAGTCATTTACTTAAGACATGGTTTCACGACCATTATCAATTAACCAAATACCCTTGCAAACTCACAGTTGCAAGTCGATAGCAAGAATATAATGTGGGTGATCAGTCCACAATATTTTCTCATATACGTACCAGAAAATTGACACTACCCAAATTCATGGGGTCGGTGAAAGCCATATAATCGGCTTGCTTTGTAAAGCAGCAACACATACAAAATCACTAGAAAAAAATCTTCAGGTTTTCCAATGAATATATTCATAACTTCAATTTTTCATTATTCTTTCGCATCAATATTGAACCAGAATGGCTTAACCGGTCATGCCAAACAATGAGATTTTCAGTAAACTTCGGGTTTACTATACACAAGTATATCTATTAAACTACTTTTTATGTAGTACAATCATATAGAGAATATATGCAATTTCTCTAAAATACTTTTACAGCATTTTTTAGTACTTCTGATTTGAAAGTATTCAATATTTTCTTTACTTGTTATCTCAAAATGATTTGTTTCAAAATTCCATAGATTTATTTTACGGAGGATTCATCAATCTCAATATGTTAGTTTGAATAGAATCTTCTGGATGTTTCACTTATTATGGTATTATGGGATTCCTTAACTCTCTCCCTCGAGATGATAACACTAGGCTTATCAATCTCAAATTAAATCCCATTTTAGAGTCAATAACATACCCTACTTGGGTTATGTAATATATCTGAGATCCTCTTTAACGTTGAAACTTAGAAAATTATAACAAATCAATGATTTCAAATTGCATTCCCGTTCACTATTCAAGAGCATTCAATAAAACAATGCAAATATTTTCATAAAAAATATATATATAATTTTAAGGTAAAACGATTTTTTATAGTCAAATTTAAAATTTTCTACCAAGTTAAACCAACAGCACACCACTGTTAAAAATATACGAATAATTTTGGAAGCCTAAGTAATTCCAAACAAGTATTAAACCCTTATCTTCATAGAAACATAAAAGATTTTATAAAAAAAAATACATATCTTTTAATTAATAGGAAGAATCTTTCTAAACTGTCCATAACGGAGATGATGTGCGTCGTGATAATTATTTGCTTAGTCTTCTTTATAATCCTTCGTTTCAAAAAATAAATGAAATTTTTTTTAAAGCCAATCATCAAATATGATTTAATACAAATTTATAAACTAATAAACTAACATGTTAAATCAAATCAATATTACAGATATGATTGTGAAGCATGAGTTATGTGGCATGGGTATATATTATATACGAATATATATACTAATCAATAAGACAATAAACCAATCGTTAAAACATGTGTCGTTCAAAGCAATAAACAATATCAAGCCAAGAGATGAATTTGTAAACGATATCATATGAATTGATTTCAAAACTCAACCACCGATTTACTAAACCAACTTAAATGATTGATCTACCAAACCAAACCAAACTTATCACAACATAAATAATGAAACGATTCTAGCTACCATGGATCTCACTAATAGAGCATTAGACAGTCGTGGTGACTAATACAAAATTAAACAGTACTTATCTCAATAATAGTGAGTGATTAATACAAAATTAAATAGTACTTATCTTAATGATAGTGAGTGATTGACGATCGGAGAAGTCTAGAGATTTTGTCGAAGATCTCTTTTAGCAATTTCTTTACGATTTGGTCTTCTTTTTATGATAATTATCCTTTTATTTGAAAAGATCGTCGTTAGAGATATAAGATAAAGACGACATCGGCGGTGATACTTACTTGGTCAGTCATGTATCTTAAATCCTTCATTTCAAAATAATAATAAAAAAACAATTAGTCAATGATTAATTACGATTTAACACAATCGTTATCTATAAAAGTACATATGTCTCTGTTTACAAAGTAGCCAAAAAAAACATATGAAATAAGAAAGTAACCATGCGTCAGAAACATTTGGAAACTAACCTTTATTTGGGATGCGAATTGACAATTTTATCCTCTGGGCAAAGGCGGGAACGCTACACATCCGACAATAGTAGTGTAGGGTAGGGAACAAAAATCTAGTAGGTAAGCATTACACGGCCACATAAAACATTGGTTGACACAAATAACGCGCAATTAATTAATATATCATGCAACAGACAACAATAATTATTTGTAAGTTCACGCATCATGTATTTTACTTATAACTGTACCTATGTATTGAACATAGTTAGTTGATGCCATTTATAACAAGATATGGAAAAATATTTTTGACAAAAACTAATATAACACGGTTACCAAAAAATATGTATTGAATATTTACATAGAGTTCAAACCATTCTGTATCAGTCGTTATTCAAAGGAATAGACTTACCAAGCTATATAGAGAAAAAACATGCAATATATAAATGCCTAAAGAAGTTCCATCCAAACGTAGGGAAGATAAGATAATGATGTCATCGTCACAACAAAAACAAATGCAATAGAAGAAAAACAACTGCAATAATCTAATATGCCGGAGTAAACAGAAGGCCGCTATTTTCTTAGATCAAATGTGATACATAAATGCCTTAGCAGGAAACATATGAAAGAAATGATGATTTGTATATAGTATAGAGATGCTTATGTACACGAAAATAATGGACTTAGTCTAAGAGTTGGGTTCTGGGCTTCCAATTTCCCGAGCCCATTGCTGGAGTAAGAGAACAGGTCTAATTAAAAATACATGTAATCTTCTAATAACACATTAATCATTCGTGGCCAACTTGAAATGAAAGAAAATTAATTGTTTATGTTAGGACTCGACATTCTGCCGCTGGCAAAAAGCAAAGCAAATATCAGATACGTATCCTTGCAAAAAACATGCAATAGAAGAAAAACAATTGCAATAATCTAATATGCCGGAGTAAACAGAAGACCGCTATTTTCTTAGATCACATGCGATACATAAATGACTTAGCAGGAAACATATGAAAGAAATGATGATTTGTATACAGTAGAGAGATGATTATGTACACGAAAATAATGGACTTAGTCTAAGAGTTGGGTTATGGGCTTCCAATTTGCCGAGCCCATTGCTGGAGTAAGAGAACAGGTCTAATTAAAAACACATGTAATCTTCTAAAAACACATTAATCATTCGTGGCCAACTTGAAATGGAAGAAAATTAATTGTTTAAGTTAGGATTGGACATTCTGCCGCTCGAAAAAAGCCAATATCAGATACGTATCCTTGCATTTAATGCGGCGACAGAGATTATACGTCTCCCAATGTTGCATTGGGGAGAGGGGTGACAACTTGTTATGCCTTATATTTTAAAAAAACATGAAATATTTATGTGTAACACATGGGATGAAGATAAGAGAAGCACAGAAACGACACGTTGCATATGACGTATTTGAGACGACGTCAAAAGCGGTGGATGATTTGGTAAATCTTCGTTTCCATACGTGTGAATCGGTCAGCGAAGGGAAAAGAACAAAATACCATGGGTCTTTTAACAAATGCATGCTATATTTTCTAACAACATGGGGGGTTTTGAGTTGACAGTTAATGAATTAACTGATACGCTGCATCGCGTATCCCGCGAGGGTTGGGGGGAAACACAATGATTTCAAATTTATGTGGCTTCAAATGTCTGTAGCACTGTTGGCAAAAAATATCTAAATAACTGTAGCCCTAATTACATTTTCCTATATAACAGGAGAGATGGCAAGCTATCAATGCTCACACCTCTTCTTCTAACAAAAAAACGGAGGCGAAAAATTATACAACATTGGAGCAGGTTTTGTTACAGTCGAGGTAAGCACTTAATGCATGTTTTTTTTTATACTAGAGCTATGTTTTTTTTTAGTTATATCTTCAAGATTTATAATGTTGCCATTTAGAATTTAATGCAAACAAATTCTATTGTAGGTACCAATGGTTGTTATAACCGAAATAACAGATCCGGATGTACGGACGGTTAGCGGCTCATGGGCGATCGGAGCAGATGGAAGCTGGGTTTTCATCCCCAATCCACAGAACGCAGTTAGACGGATGAGCATCCGGGAGGGCGAGAAAGTTGATGTTGTCCGAGCGCTTGTCAGAGAAGCGTATGGGGAAGAGTATATTGGCTGCGAACTACACTTGGCGTACCAATGGCCTGATTGGATGGATATTGAAGATACCTTTGGAGGGAAGACACGGCCAGTACCGATAACTACTGACGAGACGATGGGCGTTTTCTTGGCTATGCGTTATGAGTTAGATGACTTGAACTTGTTTGTTTCAAAAGAAAGTGTAGACTGGGGTTTAACTGCTACGGAAACTAGTGCGTCATCGACTTATGGTTTGCCAGACAGAGGGAAAACGCCGTTATACTGCAATGAAGCCCCATCTCCTAACTACAAAAACCCAATGTGGCATAAGCTAATGGATGATGAGGCGGTGCTACGTTGGATGCAATCAACACAGCCACAAGTCGGCCAAGTAGGAGAATCTTCTTCCAACGTCAACCAAATCCCTATGGGGGCAAACGTTGAGCGAGCCTTTGTTATTCAATCCAGTGGTAGTGAAGACAGCAATAGTGAGAACGGAGATGAGGTATAAATGTGTAAAACCTGCTTTCATTCAACGTATTCTGTAATGTATAACATTTATACGCAAATAGTTTTCTACTTTGTCACAGGTGGAAGACTCAAATTTGGTTGAGGCCGATTTACTAGCAAATCTTGGAATGCCGGCAATAAATCTGAGTGAGGAAAGTTACGATTCAGACAATGAGTTTGATGACAATGCCGGAGAAGAGACAATAAAAGAGTGCAATTTCTTTGGGCCATCTGCAACCTACATGTCCGGACCACTAGGGGAACACTTGGATCTCGAGGTTTCCTTACATGAGGCTCTAGAGGACATGTGCCTGAACTTTGCGTCTTTTAACCGGGACGCCGCGCCTACACTTGATGACCAAGGCGAGGAAGGTAACTTGGTTTTTTTTTAACATCAGTCTCCATATTTTAATATTTCATAAAACGTTCATAAAGTACATGCAATACGATTATAAGATGCATCAATAATGTACTGTTTCGTCATCTGCTGTCTTTTATAAATACATGTCATTTACTAAGACCACATGATATATATTCTTACACTTACCCAAATCTTCTCGATTAATAGGTCGTATCGGGATGGAGTTAGCTCTTCGAGATGTTCAATACGAAGGCGACGAATTGTTCGTGGGGCGTGTCTTCAAAAACAAGCAAGACTGCAACGTCAAATTAGCCGTCCACGCCCTAAATCGACGCTTTCATTTCCGACGTGACCGCTCCAGCAAGAAATTGCTCACTTTGACTTGCTTTGCCGAATCGTGCCCCTGGCGAGTCTACATAGTGAAATTGGAAGACTCTGACAATTATCAAATTCGTAGAGCAACACTGGAGCACACATGCACTGTTGAAGAACGAAGTAATTACCACCGAGCGGCCACGACTCGCGTGATTGGCAGCTTAATGAAAGGAAAATATGAGGGCAATACTAGAGGGCCGCGAGCAATTGACCTACAGAGACTCCTTCTTACCGATCATTCTGTTAGAATTTCATATTGGAAGGCATGGAAGTCCCGGGAAATTGCTATCGAGGGGGCCAAAGGATCGGCTGCTAATAGCTTCTCTCTCTTACCGGCTTACATACATGTACTACGGGAGGCTAACCCAGGATCCATTGTTGATCTTAAAACAGAGGTTGATGCTAAAGGTATTTATAGGTTTAAATACCTTTTTCTAGCATTTGCAGCATCTGTCCAAGGCTTTGCATACATGAGGCGTGTCATTGTAATCGACGGGGCCCACCTAAAAGGGAAATATGGAGGGTGCCTCCTTACAGCAAGCTGCCAAGACGCCAATTTCCAAGTGTTCCCTCTAGCATTTGGAGTTGTAGATAGCGAAAACGACGATGCTTGGGAATGGTTTTTCAGGGTTCTGAGCACAGCAGTACCAGATGATGCGAGTCTGACATTCGTCTCAGATCGTCATTCCTCAATTTACACAGGATTGCGACGGGTAAGCCTATAACGCATTCACTATCGTACACGTTATTGGTGATAACCCTTATTACTTTAAAATATGCAGTTCTGTTTGTATAGTTAGCATGCAATATGTATATATAACGACGTAATTTAACTTATACGAAGATGTAAAGTGCATATTTGATGAAGTGTCTGCGGTGCATATTTCAAATCGCATTTTCATTTTTATACATGTTATGTTGGGGTACAACATGTTGTTTAATAAAGTTACAACTGTAGGTGTATCCAAAGGCTAGACATGGAGCTTGTGTAGTTCACCTCCAGCGGAACATTGCAGCCGCCTACAAGAAGAAACACTTGTTGTTCCACGTTTCGAGAGCTGCTAGAGCATTCAGGATCTGTGAATTCCATACATACTTCAATGAGGTGATAAGACTTGATCCGGTTTGTGCACGCTACCTAGAGTCAGTTGGCTTCTGTCATTGGACAAGAGCTTACTTTCTGGGGGAACGCTACAACGTAATGACTAGCAATGTTGCAGAGTCATTAAACGCAGTCTTGAAGGAAGCCCGAGAACTCCCCATCATTTCTCTTATTGAGTTCATAAGAACAACACTAATGTCATGGTTTGCAATGAGGCGTGAGGCAGCCAGATCCGAGGCATCAGCCCTGCCACCAAAGATGAGAGAAGTGGTGCATCAAAACTTTGAAAAATCAGTGAGATTTTCGGTAAGGCGCATAGACAGGTATGATTATGAGATCCGAGGAGAAGGTTCAACTGTTTATCATGTGAAGCTCCTGGAACGCACCTGCTCGTGCAGAGCATTTGATTTGCTGCACTACCCTTGCCCCCACGCTATAGCTGCTGCAGTTGCAGAGGGCGTTCCAATACAGGGACTAATGGCGCCAGAGTATTCCATTGAAACATGGCGAATGTCATACCACGGGACTATAAAACCAGTCCCTGATGTTGGAGATGTGTTTCCCTTACCTGAACCCGTAGCATCTCTTCAGCTATTCCCTCCTTCCACCCGCAGGCCGCCTGGAAGGCCGAAAAAGAAGCGTATACCATCAAGGGGAGAGTTTCAGGTAACAAGTATTATTTTTGGTAACCTTTAAACAATTTACAGGTTTCGCTTCTAACATCTGTCCTTTGCAGGCGAAAAAACGTCAGATAACACGTTGTTCACGTTGCACGGGCACTGGCCATAATCGTGCCACGTGCAAAATGCCCATATAAAGGTATCACCTGCCGTCTTTAAAAATATAATGTGGTTTATCCTGATTTCATGTTATTTTTGGATATAACGTGGTTTGTATACTTTTACTGGGCAGGGCTACTGAATCTCTCGCGTTGTTTGCATGGGTTGTAGTAAGGTACGGTTTTATTTAATGAAGGGGAAGTCCATCAAAAATGGAGATATTTCAACAAGGAAGGCTACTTGGTTTATGTATATAGTAGCATAGAGACCTTACTTTGGGGTGGCGCCTTAAGCTAAGGACTGATGCGGTCAAGTAGAACCTGTTCCAGCCAGTGTTGGCTTTTTGTTGTTTTCTGTTGTTTCTTTGTACATAAAGTAAGAATTCCCCCCGTTTGTATTCAGACCCATGATATTAAATAACAACGCGTGTGTTTAATTAAGATAGAGTGTTTTTTATGGAGCCAACAAGGTAGAGGCAGAAACTCCTCAAGGGACACAACCAAATTTGACACATGGATTTATTAATCAATCAATGCCTAACAATGTTGTTAAATGACAACGTGAGTGTTTAATTAAGAAAGAGACAACGATGGTAGAGGCAGAAACGCCACCATGGACAAAACCAAATTTAAAACATGGATTTATTAATCAATTAATGCTATCTGTACAAAACACATGAAGTAATTGTTTACAGAGAAGTATGTTGAAAGATGACTTGTTAGAACAAGTCCCGACATCTTGGTATCTATTTTAGTTACTTTTAAATTGAATGAACAAGTTTTTTGGGACTAACAAATACAAATACAATTAGCATAACTCAGAAGGTTGAAAGACGATTTCAACAAACAACATTAGCTTATGGTTCATCAAACACACTTACTACAAACAAACATTAGCTTATCTCTCACCAAAATAGCATTACAAACACAGTCAAAACATAAACATGTAAACCAAAAGTAACACCAGAACACACCCGATCATATTCTTCAAGCTACGAAGCTCCATTTTGAACTCTTGCATCTCGTTTTCTACTACAGCGTCACACACCCGATTTTCCATATGTAGAGTTCCAACCACTGATTCACAAGCATTGTAACTCTTCTGTAATGACATTGAATCTTCTTCCAAATTATTCATTTGTAACTTCAAATCCTCAATCTCTTCAACCATACACTCATCAGTCCATTTAAACGTGTGAAACCATCGATCCTGTAACAAAACCAAACTCAAACTTACAAAATCATACATAATGAAACGAATCTCGAAATTGACATTACCTCAGCCGATCCATTTGGACAAGAGTGAAATAATCTCCCTGGGTTTTTTGCAGTCCTCGACGTACCCATCTTTACAGCTTCCCCGCATCTGCATCTCGTTGGGAACCCTCGATCAACCATCACTCTCGATGCTAACTCTCTGTTTCGACACTCTCGCTCTTCCTTTCTCTGTTTTATGACAAAATGAACATGAACCCTAATTTTATTGTTTTCCCCAAATTAAAACGAAGTCGTTTCGTCTCATGAAAGGAAAAAAGTAAAACGCAGCCGTTTTCCAAGTAAATTATTGCCATGGATGGACGGCTGCTAATGACGTTTGACACCTGGCTTTTCAACTATAAGCTACTATCAATAAATGCATGTATACAATAAATATCTCATCCACCTATTAGTAAACCAATGAAATCTTCAGAAACAACATGTCATTCCTCAACCACTTGGAGTAAATTTATTCGATGGGTGGATAGCTGTAATGACGATTCCATCGGTCTCTCCCACCATACTCTAGTACGAGTAAATGCATGTATACACTAACATACTTGTTTGGTGGTATATTTAAATACAACATGACTATTATCTTTGCCAACGAACCTATTCCGATATACAATAACCAAAACTACAAAGGTAGAACAACCCATTCACTAGATTTGGGGATCAAATGAGAGAGTTTCGCCAACATCCGGTCTACATGATGGTTGGAGGCTTATTCAGGTCACAATTTGAAAAGGCTTTGGAGGCAAACAACCAGGAAGCTCATTACTTAGAAGGTCTAAGGTATGCTTGTTGGGAAAAAGACATAGCCATGGCAAAAAAACATATTTACAAAGCTGTAAACTTAGTACCTGAGGCAACATTCGTCTTGGCTATGTTGTCTATTTGCGCTGGAGAGAAAGAGCTGGGAGAGTTCTTCACCGACCAATTGGTTGCACAACCATGGGCTGAGGTTTTAGCTATGGGTGACTCACTCTTTGCACATCTTGAACGCATGAAGGTGCAAAACGGCACAGCGTACGCCCAAACTTGGAATGGAGCCGTCCCAGAGTGTTCTGAGTTCCATAACATATACAACCGCTGCGAAGAGTGCTACATCTTTTGGTGTTCGAAAGAATTTTGTCGCCGTTGTTAGGTAAGACAATGTTTAAGATCTAACCTGTTGTTCCTTTGCTATTTTGTTGAAAATTATGTCTTATTTAGGAATAGCATGTAATATAAGTTCGTCTATATGGTTTTCTTTTTGTTTCTCTCTATTGTTGTTTCTTCTTTATGTACTATACTGTTGTTTCTTGTTTGTGTACTATATTGTTGTTTCTTAGCGTTTGAGTGTAAAATACAAAAATGTGTGGGCATATGTATCCATTTGAACCGATTCAGTATGCATAAAAGCACTATGACTAAACTCATATTAAGTTAGATTCAACATGTTTTCCATAAAAAATAATGTAATTTTTGAATACCACATGTGTTTTATACAATGAGCTTGCTATAAAACAAAAACACAATGTGATTGGAACGAACATAAATTACAAAAAGGCTTCATATTATTTAAAAAAAGGATGCAATCAGGGAAAAAACCGTGTAAAATACAAAAATGTGTGGGCATATGTATCCATTTGAACCGATTCAGTATGCATAAAAGCACTATGACTAAACTCATATTAAGTTAGATTCAACATGTTTTCCATAAAAAATAATGTAATTTTTGAATACCACATGTGTTTTATACAATGAGCTTGCTATAAAACAAAAACACAATGTGATTGGAACGAACATAAATTACAAAAAGGCTTCATATTATTTAAAAAAAGGATGCAATCAGGGAAAAAACCATGAGTTCTCTAGGTACCCGTTAAAAACGGTTGCGTTCATGGAAAACAACATAAGGTCTACAAAAATAGATATACTATATAAAACAACATATGTCTCATACATATCACAGTACAAAAGCAGAAAACCATCTCATTCCTAGAAAAAGTGCGTGACATCTACCAAAAGGAAGCTAGATAATCAGTAAGGTACAAAACAACATTGTATCCTACTAGGCATACCCATCAATCCCAATATATCCCAAGATCCAGTTAAAGGAAGAGTCAAACAGTCCCATTAGCTAACTCATAGGCAGCGATCATGTACTTTTTGGCAGCAGTGAACACATCAACAACCTTCACACGCTTGCATGCATCAATCCCGCCATGAGCATGAGCTTCAATTAAATGGGCAGCCATAACACCTGAATGACGGACAAAACAAGCCTGCGGGATCTCTTTCTCCCTATACACAACAAACGGCTTAATATAGCATTTCTTTTCCCCACTTTTTTTTGAAGCAAATCGAAACAGGTATGGTAACATCTCAGCCAAGGGCAAAAGAACATTCTTTAGCTTCGGTTCACGCCATAATCCTGTAAAACAGTCTAACACAACCATCTTCCAATCCTTCATATCAAGAAAGAGGGCAACCCAATGCTGTTTGTCGCAAAGAAACGGAAGGTAGACCCTTTGATGTCCAGTGGGCGTGCATTCTAGAAGATCATGATCAAACTCATACATCCCTTTCTCTGTTGTCTTGCTAAACTTGGGGTAATGCTTGAATAATTCGTAAACAAAGGTGGAATCAAAAAACGCGACTTCTTGGCGCTTCAAGATACTACTTTTGGCTTGACAATCAATCCTTATGCTATTTATGAAGATGTCCATAACCTACAAAACAATACAATAAGGTCCTAGATGGGAATATGAAGTGAGGAAAAAAGAACTTTGTTGTGAAAGAGAGGAAAGGAACATACCAGCTGTGGTACAATTGTCTTCAGATTGACAATATCTATAAGCTCAGCGGATGAGAGGGTACGATCCGTCCCAAAAGTTAGCAAGAAAAGTAGGAACAGATAATACTTATTCAAATTTCGAAGCAACTGGTTTTTCTTACCCAGGCATGGAAATTATGCGGCTTATCTTATCCACTCGGCCTACATCATGACCAAATGTAACAGTCCTACTATTTGTGCATGGTGTAGTATCAGTGTCAGATGGAACCTGATATTTGAAGGAAGATACTTATTAGTAAAATCTAACATTCTTACGTGATATATACAACTATTACCTCAGATGTGTGCAGAGAATTAGGAGAACTGCGCTTTGATAGAACCTCCTAAAACAAAAACAACATGCTTTTTTAGTAGGTTAGTCTACTATTTTAATTTAATGCACCGTATTTTTTTTCAAAGGTTCATAAAGGTTATTTTACAAAAGGCTTGATTACTCTAGTATACTTATTAGTAAAATCTAACATTCTTACATGATATATACAACTATTACCTCAGATGTGTGCAGAGGATTATGAGAACTGCGCTTTGATACAACCTCCTAAAACAAAAACAACATGCTTTTTTAGTAGGTTAGTCTACTATTTTAATTTAATGCACCGTATTGTTTTACAAAGGTTCATAAAGGTTATTTTACAAAAGGCTTGATTACTCTAGTATACTATTAATAAGTAATCGTTGATATTTATAAAAAGTTCATAAAATTTAGTTTATACTCACGTAGAATAGAAAACATCCTGCTAATTTAATGCACCATATTTTTTGAAAAATTTGTCAGAATGGTTCTGACAAACAAGCCTTAAGTATCCTATACATGAATGAAACACTGCAAAATATTTTTAAGATAACAATATGTATATATAAGGCTTGTAAAGATATTTATACTTTATCAACCATATTTAGCTGAAGACTAAACTTTAAAGGTGGTTATACTTAATCCACCGTATTTAGGAAAATAGGTTGAAAACAATAAACATTTCATGTGATTTTCAACTATATATTGTTGTTTTAAAATAACCGTTGTTGTTTTCAAAAACACCTAACAAGCCTTGTTTTCCCCACTAGAAACTTAGCTGCAGTAGCTTAGTACGATAAAAACTAAGACTTCTACTACGACCAAATACAAAGCCCTAAACTAAAAACATTTAAGAGGAAGAGCGTGCCTCAATGTCACCAAACTTGGGATCGTCAACAATGACCTGTTCATTGATGGTGCCAGTTGGGGGGTCAGGTAATTGAAGAGCTGGTTCCAATGGCTTCAGCAAATTCTCCTCGGGGAGGAGGCCCTACAGTACAAATTTTTCATTATAAGAATTATAAACATCAATCAAATCCCACAACCGAAAATTCAAGATGTATAAACCAACAGTTAAAATGACACAACATGCCTCACTCTCAAGAAGCATGGATGCATCACCCAAATCATCTTCAACGAAGGCAGCCGAATCAGCATTTACTGCCTTATCGCCAAGGTTTGTTTCTAGATGAAGCGTATCAAGCTGCAAGAGACAGAGATATATAAGCAACCCAAATCAGTAATACAATTATACGAAAGGAAAAAACTCACTTCAGATCCGTCTGTGATGCGGAGATATGATTGAGGTACTGTAATTATGGTTGCAGCTGCAGCTACATCAAAGTCGGAAACCAAGAGAGACGGTATATGCGTGTGTTCCTGCTGATGTAAACAAAAGATTTGTCAGACGGATATAAAATAAGAGTGAGGGCCCAAGTGGACTATAACAAAAATGCAACAGCGCCTACACTATCTTCGAATGCATCTGGCCTGTGCAGATCTGTCTCAGGGTCAACATTTTTGGCAGTATCTGCTGGTTCATCAGTGTTCTCCTGAGTTACATCCTCTGTTTGGGCTCCTACACAAGCCCCATGGACACCGAGATCTTCACATACAGTGTCATCTGCACCGCTATAAACAGTTTTTGGTTTACCTCTCTTCCTCTTCTGCAAATGTCCAAAAAGGTACCATAGTTAAAAAATCAGCCAATAGTGTTATGAGATAATAAACTAACCTAAAAAATCACAAACCTTCCTGCCTGCAGCACTATGCGAAGCAGGCATTGGTGGAAGAGATGACGCATCATTCAGTTCTGACAAGACATTTCCTAAGACAGATTCAACAAATCCAGATGCGTTCTCTGTGCGAGTAAGGGATCCACTGACTCCTGTATCATCAGAAGAAAAGACTACCTTCTGACAATTCTCGCCAGTTTTTTTTCCTTTCTCAACAGATCCATCTACTCCCTCTTCACCGCTGACGCCATCCTTTTTTGATTGCTCAGCATTTCCAGCTACATCCCTCAAATCAATAACATTTAGGTTCCCCACACCTCTAAGAGCTTCTGTAATCAGCTTGGTCATACGAGCCTCAGAATCAGCAATTGCCTTCAACACACGTTTCTCCATTCGCTTGTCATTCTGGTCAACATACTGTTTCAGGCCGTCTGCACTGTGAAACTTGCCTTTTCCTTTACGTTTTTTTGAGGAACCAACGCAGCCATTTTGGTGGTCTAGAGTTGAATCATCGATAGTGTCATGTGCGCTACAAACATCGCTGTTGTCGTTCCTATCATCGGGCAGAGAATCAGGCACCAAGCCTCCCAGAAACAATGATGCAGCGAAGTGTTGATGCTCGCGTACAAGTTCTAGAAGATGGTCAACACAAGGGTCAGCTTCGTCCTCCAGCCATCCAGTGGCGAAAGGGTCGCCATTGACATCTCCACTTAGAATAGAGGGGACATTGCGCTGGGAAAAAAATTCACTCTATTATATCTATGTAAAAATATATCTGTTAAAGAAGAAAATACATACATAAGCACATGTTAGTAACAGACGCTATAAACATAGAGAACATGATATGTTTTTAAACCCCCACCCGGTATACATATACACAAAAAAATACATGCAAGATTTTCAAGTACAGGTATATTCCTATATATATATCAGAATATTAACAAATGAATAAATACTATATAATATAAGCTTATGAAGACAAAAACATAGCTACACAACAAAATAAATGCATACTAAATTAATAAATACTTTTTAATATAAGCTTCTGCAAAAAAAACAGGCAATATTTTGAAGTACAGATTTATTCGTATATAAAACAGGCAATAATAACAAATAACTCCCTATCTTACTACCATACCAAATGCATATATACTATATAACAAAATCCTATGTACATAAAAAAAAAACATAGATTAGAAACAAAAATACATGCAATATTTACAAGTACCAATATATTTGTTAATATATCAACCTATAATAATGAAAAAAAAAACGAATCATAACATAGCCCCAGAAAATAATTCGTACCAGGGCCTTCTTATCGACCTTCCACACTATATCCAGCTTCAAACTCCAAAGCCGCTCGATTTCAGAGTCACTATCCTCCATCTCAGAATCACCTTCTTCGTCAACCTCCGGGAATTGCAATTCCCTAATAACTGGAACACAATGCAACAATAGCAGGGTAAGGGCATGAGGGAAACCTTGGATAGTTGTTGATTTCCTCATTAGCTTATCTGCTCCCCTAGCTCTAATGCTCTTCAGAGTCAACATAAACGAAGTAGTACCCCAGGGGTGATTGAGAAAGATTTCTAGATTTTCTGACATCTCTGCATGAAGTGGAGATATTTTGGTTCTACCAGACGTTGGGCAGAGAACACCATCAATGAGAGCAAGAACAGCGTACCGCAATCGCATATCTTGGTCTTCTACCAAATGTTTCTTCAACCTACCAACAACCCATTCAACAGAAACATCACCGCGGTCAAATAGCTTGTACCAATACTTTCCAGGCATAAGTTTGCGTTTGCTCTTCCTCTCTTTCACAGCTGGGGGTTTGCTGCAGTTTAGACCAGTGAGTCTTTCAAACTCTGAAATTGAGAAGCGAATAGGCGACCCTCCAAAAATGAACCAGATTTCATTTTTTTTGCTAACAACAAGCTGTCTCGTTAGCAAAAAATGAATTAATTTGCCAGAATAAGCCGCTCCCTCAGGCAAATCAAACACTTTCCCAAACTGTGATTTCTTCAGAATTTCCATGTCTCCAGGAGTTAAACTGTTTGCGATTTCGTCGATGTACCCTAGCTCAGAGTAAGATTGAACTCTCTCGCCGTTGGGTTCGGATCCTTCTCTAAACAGACGCATCGGTAGTGTTGGATCCGTCATCTGAGAAAGCATAAAAATGGCTCAACATACAAATGAATTTAAAGGAAAAATAGTTAAATGATCTACAAAAACTTTGAGATTTTCTATTGATGAAGTAGAAAAACCCATAAACACTCAAAAGACACGATTTGACGAAGAAACGGAAACAGACCGTCAATTTCTGTGAGATCCAAGAGAGGGATTAGAAGATTTGCTTGAACGCAAGTCAGGAAGTTAACGAGTGCAGAGAATCTGACAAGCTGCGGAAATATGGACAAAAAATAGTTAGAAGATCTACAAAACCTTCGACATTTGGTATTATAGTAGAAAACCCTAAAGAATCACCAAAAACATGATTTCCCGATGAATCGAAAACAAACCTTCAATTTATGTGAGATCGAAGAGAGAGATTAGTAGATTTCACGCTTAATCGCCTTCTGTAGTTCGCAGGCGGAGGAAAGAGGAAGCGGCGCCTAGGGTTTCCACGCTCTGGAGGCGGTTGCAAATAATTGAGAGAAACAAAATTTGTTTTATTTCAATAATATTTCCAGGGGAAAATAGAAAATGGAGCCCAAATATTTAAATTTGAACCTCGAGATGTGATATGCCTATTGAAATATTTGTCCCCTCAACCGAAACACAGGCGTAGGGAGAAAATCGTAAAAACATGTGACTTTCCGACAGGTACTATGCTGGTAAGGTTAGTTTGTTAATTCTTTTTGAATTCAAGGTTAGTTCATATAAATTCCCTATATTTTACACACATATAGAGATTCCTAAGCTAACCGCACAATTTGGTTGCTTAATCTGGTTGCTTAATCTGGTTGCTTTTTTCAAACAGCGGATCTCTATGGGTTGCCTGGCACTGTCATCATCATAATCTTGACTCGTGTAGCTTCTGGGATTTAAAGCCGAGAAACAATGACTCTTGGTTCTGGAAAGGATTACTGAATCTAAGAGGCCTTGCTCGCAAATTTATCGGCTGTCTTATTGGTAATGGAACAAGAACTTGGTTCTGGCATGATACTTGGACTCCTTTTGGACCTCTTATTGACTACTTGGGAGATGAGGGTCCGCGAAGCTTGAGAATACCCCTAAATTTTAAGGTCAGTGAGGCTTGCAACCATGAGGGATGGAAGCTGGCAAACCCGAGATCAGATAAGGCAGTCTCACTACAGGTTTTCTTGTCTTCTATTGACCTACCTAGCTCTTCATTGTCTGAAGACTCCTTTCAGTGGGTAATAGAAAACGTGCCTGTGGGAAACTACTCAGCTTCCAAGACTTGGGAGGTTCTAAGACCAAGAGATTCGGAGAAGTCTTGGGCAAATCTTGTGTGGTTCAAGGGATCAACACCAAAGCTCGCTTTCAATTTCTGGATTGCGAATCTCAATAGACTCCCAACAATGTCACGCCTTGCTTCTTGGGGTCTTCAAGTCTCGGTAAACTGCTTGTTGTGCTCTTCACCAACGGAGGATAGAGACCATCTCTTTATCCACTGCACCTTTACCTCTGTTATTTGGAATAAAAATTTTAAAAGGCTGAGGCAACAATTTGCAGGTTTCAGTAACTGGTCGGCTTTATTACACTGGGCTAAAGTGAGTACTCGTTCATCTCCATCTACTCTGCGGCTCCTCTTAGCTCAGGCGCTGGTTTATAGTGTTTGGAGACAGAGAAACAACCTGTTGCACAACCAAATTACCATCCAACCAATCACCATCTTCAAGGATATTGATCGGCAAATCGTTAACACCTTCAACGCCAGGAGGAAAAGGAAGAAATTCAGAAACCTTATGGCTTTGTGGATCAACTAAAGGATTCTTTTCCTATCTCTTCAGTATGAAATTGTAATTGCTCCACTGTTTTTTATCTTTTTTTGGCATGGAGCAAATCTTAGGTCTACAAATCTTTGTAACACCAAAACTTTCATTATATGATATTAACTTTTTAGCAAAAAAAAAACCGCACAATTTCACGCATATACATAATAATTAGCTAATTGAATATATGTAAGACCACTAATCTATCATTGTGTATATTTATATTTTTATACACAATTGCAGTAGCATATTATTATATACTAGGTGAGAACCCGCGCTACGCGCGGGATTTTAATTCTAATTTATAATTACATTGTTGTAATCAAATAATTATATTGTTATACAAATTATTGTTATCATCTAGGTGAGTACCCGCGCTACGCGCGGGATTTTGTTATAAATTTTGTTTTAATATTTTTTTAAAAAATTTTAAAAATTTATATGTATATATTATTAGATTCCTGTATTTTTATTAAAATTATGTATTTGTTTTCAAATTTATTTTTGGATATCGTTGCATGTTTGAGACTAATATATACATTTTTAAAAAAAATTTCTCATTTAGCTTTTAAGATATATTTTAATATTTTTATATTATTATTTTAGTGTAATATCTATACAATTTGTAATTTTATATGGAGTTTATCAACTCTAATTGGAATGTTTTGTTTTTTTTTTAGCTAGAACAATTTATTTAATGTAAAAAGAAAAGCAAATATCCTCAAAACTTTAAACTTGAATGTAAAACAAAATGATTGGCTCGAAAAGACCATGTCCACAGTTGTATTGAAGTATTTTATAAGAGAATTGCTTTCTAAACTCCACTTTCTCTTGGTCTCCATTTTTTGTCCCTCCACTTTAACTAATTGTAGAAGTTGTTGTCGGCTTCTTGTTGGGATTTGGTTCCTCAAATGTGCTCCAGCCCTATAATGAATATTTTGTGTAAGATATTGTTGTTACCTTTGTTGCCCTACAAAAAATGTTTATTTTTAGGTTTAATTGTTATTAAAAATGAGTAAAATTTGCAATATTATATGATCATTACTTTCCTAAGATTTTATTTACCTTCTCTTCCATAATTGTGGTTGCCGTTTTGTTTGTAAGTTTTCTCATTTCTTTGTCTAAAATCACAAATGTCGCACCATGTTCTCCATCATGAACATCAAGCTCCACTCGATACCTATGAAATAGTTGTATATAATAGTATTTAAATATAAAAAATTCCAAATTGTTATATCTTTAATTCGTTGTGTTTGCAATTTATTAAAAATAGCTATAAGAAAATAATAGCGTACCTAAGAATTCCTTTCTCATTAGGCGTTACACAACTTTTGCATCTTTGTAGTGTTGTCCTTTTCTCTAAATTCCGTCCACAATCTTTGCAAGATCTGTATGTCCATCCGTTTCTTTGTAGCACCCCAACAACATAAGCGTTGCAAAAAAATTCAGCATTCTGAGTCTTTTAAAAGTGTTGTAGATTTATCAAGTTTAGTTAGTTGTACTTCTATTTATATGTGATGATAAATTAAAATACTCTATTGTATTAAATACCTGTTCGTTAGCTTTGGATATATAGTCGTAAAGTTCAGCAATGGATACTTCTTCTTTTTTCATGTCTCCCACCATGGTTTCTGCATGTCCATATGTTTCTCCTTCTTCTATTCCCATCCTATATGGATAATTAAACAATTGTTAAAATTTGTGTAGATAAGTAAATGTATTACTTTTTAGCTAATTTATTTAAACCTTACTCTTTTGTAAATTTTTGGATGACATCAAATATTGAGTCAAAATATATCCTTGTTGCTTCCGTAGAATTCAAGTATAGGTTACCTTGTTCATGTTAAATGTATTTTTATTAATATAAAAGTTAGTATGATGTAAAATATTTGATTAAGTATATAATTAATTTATTATTAAAGGAATTACCTCCAAAGAGTGTAACAAAGAAATAAAGTTGAAAAAATTATATTTGATATTTGATAATTTTTTTTTTAAAAATTAATTGTTGTAATTTTTAGATTTTGTTTTAAAATTTTTAAAATTAATTTTAAAATTGTTTTTGTAATTGTTGTAATTATATATATAAAACGTAAACGTGAGCATCAACTTGGTTGGAAGGTGTCACCTGTTGATTGAAAGAATCACATTTGTAAGGACCGTAGAGAATACAAAGATGGGTACATGAGAAATTGCAAATGGTTTTTATTGGTAGAACTAAAATAGTCAATAACTTGTAAAGTATACTTGAGTTAGATCTATAGTGAGCAAAGTAATTTTGGCCTTAATTAATGTAATAAACTCATCCCAATTCATTAACTTCAAAGATTCAGGCTTTTCGAAATGTTCATTGTGTTTTAGTTCTTATCTTATCACCAATATCACATACACAAAGACACATGAGATTATCAATATCTATGGAGAGCATATTCATATCCTTACTGTCTTTACTGTCTCTGTTTCCTTTTGTTCTTTATCCTCTGTTTGGTTAATATTGATTTCCAAAGTCTTCAAGATTGCAGCTACTTGGGCTGCGGAAGTACCTACAGCCTCAACGTCAAGGGTCTCACATTATGGTATCTCTCTCCCCAACACATGTTCCTCTGTATCCTTTGATCTTTTATCCACCTCTTGCTTGAGATCTAGAGAGGCTTTCAATTCAATTTTCTCTCCTTGTATTGTTGGTGTTGCCATTACCCGATGACTTTCTTTCACCTGCATATATATAATGTTAGATTCTAGATTTAATAGTGTTAATAAAGTTGTCTGATAATGTTTTACTCAAATCTAGTTTTTTAGATTTTAAGAATAAAGACTAACCTCTTTTACTTTATGGGTTATATCCTCTTCCTTTTCTCTTTCTCCACTCACCTCACTTGAGATTTGCTCTGCATCCTCTGAGTTTCTTATTGCTTCCTCTGATTCTGCATTCTCGTCCTGATAGTCATCTCCTTTCAAGCTTTCAGATTCATGAGCTGTAGTTTCTACATTGTTAAGTGTTAACGATGTTAGCGTCTTCTACAACTGTCTTTACAGTCCCTATCTCATTGAATAGTAGCAAACCGAGATGAGTGTTTTACCTGATCACCAATATCATAAACAAGTTTTGACTCTTCTCCATACTTCCCCATGAGTGTCTCTCTCAATTCAAAAACATGAGTGTCAAGTTCAGTTGCACCGTCCCTCTTGAAAACATTCTTTATGATTGAAAATGCTTTTTCTCGAACCGCCATTTGTTCTTTATCTAAATCTCTAGTCCCCTGTCATAAAAAATCAAGAAATTATTGACTTGAGCCAAATCAAAATGTGATTACTTCATCTGAACCAAGACTCTACCTTACGAATAAGCAAATATGCAAAATTACTACACACATAAGCTAGCAGCAAACACAAATTAAGTGAGAAGAGAGATGGTTTAAGCTCTTCAGCGTTTGCCACCACCACCTCCTAATTTAGGACCCTTTCCTGCTGCAGCAGCTTTTGGGAAATTTGCCTTGACCTTCTCTTGCTTAGAAGCAAATTTCACCTTCTTGGCCTTCTTTTCATCTTTGGTCTTTTTAATTCTTTCCTTGATTTCACTGTTGAATCATCACAATTCATTTAAAAAGTCGAATACTTGTTCTCAAATATAACAATTTGGTTCTACTTAGATGATTTGAGATAGAGCAAGAAAACCAACCGTAGAGCAGCTTCTCTGGCAGCATCACGAACTTCTGGCTTCTCAGCTCTCTTCTTCTGAATCACCTCCAAGGTAGCTCCAACAATGGACCTTGAGTATGGCTTCTTGGTGGCACGTCTTCTTCTCTTCACAGCCTCTTGAGCTGCGTCCTATAAAAGAAACAGAATTTTTAAAGTTCACTGATCAGACTCTATTCCTAACCACATAGCTCTTACAAAAACAAGAACTTTTCAATCAACAACACATACAGAAACCATAAACAAAAATTATAGAATTTTAATTACCTTCTTGTGTTGCTTCCTGTACATGGCAGTCCATGCAAGCTTGGAAGGCTTCAACTTGTTGTGGAAGTACCTCTTGCACTTTGAGTTGAGAAACAAGAAAACCTGATGAACCAACCATGGACACAACACCAATCATTAAGAGACTAAACACCAACACATTTTCTAATTATAAACATTAATTTGATAAGCTCAAGATTTATAAAAGAGCTAACCTGAGAATCAGATCGGATAAATCTCCGATGCATCTCCGCCGCCATGGATTCGCCGGTGGAATCAGGCAAAACCTCGAACCGACCAATTAGCTTCTCACCGGAAGCAGCGATGAATCTACACGACGCAGCGCCGTGAGAGTAAACCTCGACGGAGAGAACACTCCATTTAGGCTTATTAAGAGACATCTCTATCTGAGACTTGCTTAGACTGAAACAAGCAGCGATGGTGGAGACGTTACCGGAACAGTACCATGACTCTGATTCTGATTCCAATTGGGTTCGCAATAGAACGGGAACAGATTGATTGACCAAAACACAAATTGTACACCTAGGCCCAAAAAAAAAAGCTGAGTAAGATTAATTGTTATAATTTGATTGGCTGTTGATTTTTACTGAGTTGTCAACACCAAAATGAATACAGAAGCTGAGGTGTCATCATAGGAGAGAAATTTTGTTTTTATATAAAAGTTGGCTAACTCTCTCCATCCTTTCGCCACGTCAGCAGTGAAGAGTGTGCTATGTGTCACAACATATTATATTTATTATTTTATTTTATTTTATTTAATTAAGAATTTAAATCATGCATTAATTATTGTTTATATGAAAATTGACATATTTAACTTATTAATTAAGTAAATTCAATTTAATTAGTTACAAAAGTATAACAAACTCATATAGAAATTAATTAATTTAAATTTAGCTGTATAAATTGTATAAATTTATGTGTAAACATAAAATCAATAGAATTTTAATTAAATTTTAATTTTATTAACGTATAAAAATAAATAATATGATATTAGAATTTATTTTATGTTTTCATATACTATAATATATATAGGATTAGTGCCAATGAATATTAGATGAATTTATGGTTTATTTTAATGCTAATATAAGATACTAAATCAACACTACTTTTTCGTTTATTTAAAATTATTTTAAAGATAACAAAATATATATTTGGTTTTAAGATAAATAATTATAAATAAATAGGGAAATTGTTAAAAATACCCCCTTTGGTGTGCCCATTTTCAAAAATGCCATTTTAGATGTTCATTTTCAAAAATGCCCCTTTTTAAATCTGAAATTTTTATAAAGTTTTATTAGGTTTATAAGGTACTTATGGATTGTAACTACTACTTGAAGACTCAATCCAAGTATTTATAAGGTTTTATAAGGTGTTTTTAAAGGTTTTACAAGTTATTTTAAAGGATTTTTAAGGTTTTTCAAAGGTTTTACAAGATATTTTAAAGGTTTTTAAAGGTATTTAAAATGCATTTATAAGGTATTTATAAAGTATTTATAAGATTTTAGATACATAGAAATGTATTTTGTGTATGTTTTAATAATATTACATACATATTTGGGTAAATTTTATATTTTTAATAGCATTTTTTATAAAGTTTTTAAAAAGGGGTATTTTTGAAAAGTGGCATTGAAAAAGTGGCATTTTTGTAAAAGCCCCTTATAAATAAGTGTTAAACAATGTAATTAAACATAAATTAAAATATAAAAAATATAATGAATTATTTACTCGAGAGTTAGAGGAATATATCAAAATGATTATTTGAAGAGAAAAACACCAAAAAGATTATTTATCAAATTATTTCAATCGATCTTAATCGTTATAACTAACAAATTATGGATGGAAATATCCGCACGTTATGCCACATCATCACACAAGAAAATGACATGTGTCATTTAACATTATTTAAATTAAAAAATCAACAAAATTAATTGAGGGAAAATCAAAAGTCTACTATTGTGTTAAATCCTCCATTAATCCCATTCTTAAATGATTTTTTCAAAATAATAATAAAATTATAAAATCATTTTAATAAATCAAACACTACTTTCATTTTACTTTTCTTATTTTTCTATTTTTTTAATTTAATGGTCAAATAGTTATCACTCGATAATGACTAAATAATTGTTTGTGTCGTAGTTTAGTTGTTTGCTACCTAATATCTTATTAGTTTAGTAATTTTACCTTAAATATTTTCTCATTATTACGTTACGGTACATATCTTATCATATGACATTCTCTCTTTTCATTTTTTATATGTTATGGTAAGTTCGTAACATTAACATGCAAATTTTTTCAAGTAATGAGCTTTTGAGACGTTAGACATATTACGAAATTCAAAATTTCAGGATTGTCATTAAAACGCAAAATTAATAACCAAAAATTTTGTTTTTATCTTTAGAAAATCAGAACGTTTCTTCTTTTCTCTTTTCTGCTTTAGTTCTTCTTCGCCGTAGCTAATCTTCGCCTAGGATTGTTTTCTAATCTGATTAGGAATCATATCTTCTTCTAGCTTCCTAGAAATAAGTTTTTGAGTGTAGAATATGAGCGACGATATCGGGTTTTTTTTCCAGTGATACGAATTGTTGGTTATAGCATATGAGAATTTGAAATTGTGACCAAAAAGATGCTTACTTAAGAAAACCCTTATTTATACAATTTACAGAAATATTCTATAGTCTTGCGGAAAATTAATAAATATTCTAGAAAATCAGTTTTTACTCCTTTTTAAATCTATAAAGCCTGTTAAGTGTCAACACTATCTACATTTTTATTTTATTTTGAAGATTTTTAAAATTTATGCAGTATATAAAAAAAAAACATTTGTACAGTGATGGTAAAAGAAAATATTAGAAAAGGGCGTTAAAAACACAAAAACTACGTCGTTTTTTCATTGCTGGGTTTTGTCTCAAAAGCAAAAGCTGCTTTTGGTTCCCGTAGATCTAAAGTTACGTTCGAGTCTCTCCTCATCTATTTTTATTCCCCTCCAGTTTTCTCAGGCGGTACGGTCAAATCACATCGGAAAATTCAACCGGAGATCAAATGGCATTGCCGTCGATCTCATCAATCGGCGCGACGGTCTAAATCCTAATCTATTTCTCTCTTCCTTATTCAATCACAGCTGGTGAAAACAACCTCCACCAATCTCCCGCCGCTAGATCACGACGTCCCATGGTGTTCCCATTGTTTCTCTCTCAACCAAATTCTTCTTCGAGATCCATCTCAATCCCACATCGAAAACTCCACAAATCCGACTCAAAATCACTGCCTCACTCTCGCATGAGACTCTACGACGATCTTCTTATTAACGGGTAAACAAAAACACCTTTTTTCCGATCTGCGTCGTGTAAAGATGTCTCTTTTATACAATTATCAAAATTTGTAGGTATTACACTACGAGGCTTTGGATTGGTACACCACCACAAATGTTTGCTCTTATAGTTGATTCTGGAAGTACTGTTACTTATGTTCCTTGTTCTGATTGTGAACAATGTGGCAAACACCAGGTAATGCTCAGTTCTCCAAAAGATCAAATCTTGTGTCTTGTCTCGTGTAAAGTTCAAATTTTTAAACTTTCGTATGGTTTATTTGATCAGGACCCGAAATTTCAGCCAGAATTGTCTAGCACTTATCAACCTGTGAAGTGTAACATGGACTGTAATTGTGATGATGATAAAGAACAATGTGTTTATGAGAGAGAGTATGCGGAACATAGTAGTAGTAAAGGTGTGCTTGGAGAAGATCTTATTTCATTTGGCAATGAAAGCCAGCTGACACCTCAACGAGCTGTTTTTGGTTGCAAAACTGTTGAAACCGGTGATCTTTATAGTCGACGTGCTGATGGAATTATTGGATTAGGTGAAGGGGACCTTAGTCTTGTGGATCAGTTGGTGGATAAAGGTTTGATAAGCAACTCTTTTGGTTTGTGTTATGGAGGGATGGATGTTGGTGGAGGTTCGATGATTGTTGGCGGTTTTGATTATCCATCTGATATGATATTCACGGACTCATACCCTGATCGTTGGTATGTTTCCAAGGGAATGTTTTGTCTGATTGGTGAATGGGATCTTGTATAATCCTAACAAATACGTTTAATACCTTTCACACATTTGCAGCATTTGAGGAAGCTGTAAGACCCTTATAACTCTCTGAGAATTGTTAATGTTTGGTTAAGTTCCCGGTTTCTGTGTGCCTTTTCTTACATTAGGCTCTTATCTAATTCTTTTGAAGGTAATGAGAGAAGTTTCCCCATTGAAGCAGATTGATGGTCCTGATCCAAATTTTAAAGATACTTGCTTTCTTGTCGCTGCAAGGTATTTGTTGTCTCTTGCAAACTTGTGATCTATATCATAACTTTCAATCAAGGGAAGTATCTGACTTTTAGATTTGTTTATGCTGAAGTAATGATGTCTCGGAACTTTCAAAGATATTCCCGGCAGTCGAGATGATATTTAAGAGTGGGCAATCATGGCTGTTGTCCCCTGAAAATTACATGTTTCGAGTATAGAATATGAGAATTTGAAATTGTGAGAAAAGATGCTTACTTAAGCAAACCCTTTGGTGTGAAGAAGGATTGTAGCAATGGCGGTTTATAGAGAAGATGAAAGAGGACGAAATCAGGTAAAGGTTACGTATTTAGCTGCTTGTTAAGATTTGATTGGAGTTATGAGAATGTTTATGGATGAAATTGATATTTAGAAAGCAAAAGAGTATTATTAATGTTTGAAATAAGGCTTTCTGAGTTTGATTGTTATTTGATTTGATTTAAAAGATCAGAGTTTTTGGTGATGCGTAAGATTGAGAAAGATAGAGAGAAAGTGGTCCGTGTTGACAGTATGTTAAAGAGGAATCCATTTGTCGAGTTAGTGCCATCTTGAAAGCCAAAGTTGAAGAAGAGTGAGAGGGCAATCAGTAAAGAAGAGAAAGCACCTAAACAAGTTCAGAAAGTGAGTAATTTGATGATATGATTTTCTACACGTGTAAAATGTTTTGCCATTTTTTTTTCCCGGGGATCTAATTTTATATGATTTATATCTTCTTTGCAGAATGTTGGTGACGACTCTGTAATAGTGGACTTATGGGCTGATGATAGTAAAGGTTTGCTTACTCATTTATTCTACTTTTTAGTTTCTTCTTAATTTTTTTTTTTCCAATGGCATGAAGTAACGTTTACTTTGACCAAAAAATAACTTGCAGGAGAAGATGAGAACAATCCTAGAAAGGTAATGTGTGGACTTAAAAGATTAAAAATATATGGACTTACATCTGTAAACTTGTTCTTTGTGAATCTATCAATCTCTTGCTATGTTCACCATACACTTTACGACGCCTACACTTTTAGCCTTGTTTTGATTAGCGAAATCGTGTGCCATTCTATTTTCATTTTCACGCTTAGCTCTAGATAAGATAAGATAATATGAGAACTTTGGCTATTTGGAAATACATATGGGCTATA